GGCCAGAGCCCCGTTTTCCCGCTGCTGCTCGGCGCCCCGGTCCCTCCGTGGCCCCCGCCCCCCCCCCGTGGCCCACCTGTGCTGCGGTGGCACCCCTCCTTTCTCGCTCCACGCCCCGCCCCGGTCCTCCCCCCCGGCCCCCCGGCCCCCCCCCCCCCCCCCCCCGCCCCCCCTTCTAGCAGCAGAGCTCTGTCTATGGGGGGTGCTGGGAGGGTGGGGACGCGGGCCTGGGGGCCTGGGGGCGGGCTGGGGCGGGGCGTGGAGCGAGAAAGGAGGGCTGCCACCGCAGCACAGGTGGGCCTCTGGGGGGAGGCGGGGGCCCCCGGAGGCACCGTGCGCCGCGCCGCAGTGCGGAAACGGGGCTCCGGCTCCGTTAGTCTCCGTTAGCACCGACTTCCCGAATGATCACGGTTGATCAGAGGGCAGATTTGAAGAGATCTCGATGAGTACATACAGATAGACCCTCCAATCATCAGAAACTTCCAACCTGATCGGTCGTACTGACCGCCGACAGATCACTCCAGACAGCAGACAGGCCGACGTCTGCACGTGGCCGGCCGGGCGAGAGGCTTGACACGATCCGACCCTGCGACCCTGACGCTGCTGCTCTAGCTATCAGACATGCGCTGCTGACTGCTGCCACAATGTGCGACCGGTGCTGACCCACTTGGCGGCCTTCCCGGTCAGTGGTGAGGCGCAGTTCAGAGCTGTCGATGGCGCGATGCCGCACTGGTCCCACATCGGTGACACGAGACCACCACGTTTGCCGGTCCAAGAGAGAGGCACCGGCGCTGTCCGGAGAAGGTGCATGGTCCCTCTTGACTGCCCATGCGCGCGAGGCTGTGTAGGCATAGCCTCGAGAGTGCCAGCAGCCAATCCGAGGCAGTTTGTGACGCGCATTGCGTCAGAAGCGTGCACGCGCTGGAAGGACACCTTCCTACTGGCCGTACGATCAGGTCGTCACTGAATGCCGAAGACTAAGGCCGCGAGCTATGCAGGCGGTCAGTTGAGCAGTATGGCACGGTCAGCAGCGCCGAGAGGATGTCGCAAGGCGTGATAGCATGGCCGCAAGTACGCCGAATTCCCATGAAAACAAGTAAAAAATCGCGCGAAAAAGAAAAAAATGCCCAAGAAATCGGCGCCTGCGGCGGGCTGGGGGACCCCATCTCCCCCCCGCATGGGTACCCCCTAGGGCCCTCGCCTCCCCCCAGAGAGGTGGGCTCACTTGTGCAGGGGCGGCACAAGGTGCCGCCGCTCCTACCCCGTGGCGAGCTGCTTCTCACTCTCGCTCGCAACTGCTGACGGTGCGCCGCGGAAGAACTCAGGAGAAATTGTGCGGCCAAAGGTATTGGCGCTGTGGGCTTCATCCGCGAGCTTTTGGCAGCGCGACCGGGGCATACACCGTAATTACACGAGGGGTTCTCGTCCTCTGTCCACTGATCTGCCTCCATCGGCAGTGTCCCCACCGGGGCAAAGTCGGCGGTTCCCGGTATACACGTCGCCCCAACTGGGCGAGCGGATTCGCATTTCCCTTTATAGTTGGGGTGGGGGGGGGGGGGGGGGGCTCACGTTCTTGCATATCTGGGCAGTGGAAACGCCAAGGCACTCGCAGTCGTCGCAATCGCCGCACCCATTTTGGTCCAAGGAGACGAGCCTGGGCCAGGGTCCGCCTTTCCCGTTTCTTGTCTGCCGCCCATCCGGCAAAGAGGTCCTCCCCGTGGCGGCAAATAGTCGTACTCGCCCCTCCTGCACCGCGTGAACCGCCGGGCCGGGTGGGTGGGGTGGGGTGGGAGGAGGGTGTTGGATGGGAGGGGGGATGCGTGGTGTCCAGTCCGAGCCTGACTGTTCTTCACCTTCCTACATACATACATACATGCGTGGCGCTTGTGCAGCGGCGCGCACTTTGCCCACCGCTCGCGGTGGCGTCCGAGCGGAGGCGGAGACGCGATTAACCTCCGACAACACAAGCAATGTTGTGCCCGCCGTTTCGGACGTGCCCGCCGCCCCCCCAAATTCTTTTTGGCCCGATACTCTCATGGCACCGCTGCCTGGAAGAATGTTGCCCCGGGGGCGGCTAGCGATTATCCTGCTGACGCAGATGTCGTGCACCGTATCCTTTCGAGTCACAGTCGGTGCTGGCGCACCCTTTCTCCTTGCCCGCCGCAGCGCATGCACCGCCGCCTCAAAACAGGACGAAGAACCGCGGGTGCCGCTGGCTGAACTGCTGTCGACCTGCGTTGATGCGGCCCAGCGAGGCTGCGACGAGATCCGACGAGTGCACGCCTCGCTATCGACGGAGGGTGGCGCGATCTCTGATTCTGCAGTTGACTACAAGCTTGCCGGCGACAGCCGCTCGGCGCTGACTGCAGCTGACCTCGCCGCGCAGTGCGCTGTTGTCGAAGGCCTCGAGAGGGCATGGCCAGGCCTCCGCATCGTTGGAGAGGAGGACCTCGCGTGCTCGGTCGACTCGGACGCCGCAATGGGTGGCGTGTGCACGTCTGACCTCGCGTGGTCCGTTGCCGCCGCTGAGCCGGCCGGCCTCCGCCGCGACCTCCTCTCCGCCCTCCTCGAGGAGTCTGCGCCTGAGGCGGCGCCGGTGGACACCTGTCAGACAGCGGCGAGGTCGCTGCTCGAGGAGTGCGAGCTGCAGGGTGGCAAGGGAGGCGCAAGCTCGAGGAGCGAGCCGCTGAGCGACGTGAGGCTGCCCCAGGATTGTTTTCACCCATGCGTTGCTTTCTGAACTTGCGCCGCGCCTCGCTGCTCACGAAAGCAGTTCGCCTAGCATAAGACACTGTGCTAGGTGACCGTCTTTGTCGATCCGCTCGACGGCACGCGCGAGTTCGTCGAGGGACGCGTCTGGAACGTCCAGACCCTCATTGGCGCCCGCCGCGTCACAACAAACGCGTCGTGTGGCGCGTCTTGTGGCACGTCCATCGCACGCCACCAGCGACTTGCCCAATAGGCGTCGCCGTTCGCGGCGAGGCAGTCTCCTCATATCTCCCGATATCTCCCCATCTCCCCATATCTCCCTAATAGGCATCGCCGTTCGCGGCGAGGCAGTCGCCGGCGCCGTCGGCCTACCCTTTGGTAGCGGCAGCGATGACTCGAAGGCTTGCAATCCTGTCAACCTTCTGCAATCCGCTCACTCTTCACTGCAATCCTGTCAACCTTCTGCAATCCTGTCACGCTTTAGGCCGCCGTGGTCTACGCGATGCTCGGCGCGGGCCCGCCGCGCGTGTTTGGCGAGCCTCGCCACGCCCCGCGCGCCTTCGTGGCATGGATCCGCGCAGCACCGACAAATATGATGAACCACGTACGCGCAGGCGAGCGTGCAGACCCGCAGGACCCGGTGCACGGCGGCGAGGTGCCTTCGTCTGGGGCGAGGCCGCTGCTAGTCGCAGGCCCAGCTTTCTCTCCACCTGAGATTGCCCGACGTCTGGCCGACGCCTCCCTCCCGCGATCTCACGGGGGCAGGCCCGACCTCGGGTGATCTCGTGCAATCTCGGGCAGACCTCGCGTCTCCTTTCAGGCGACGCGTCCGACTTCGCCCTCAAGGCAGCCTACGCCGCGGCGCTGGAGGGCGGAGGCCGGCGCGTCCTCTTGGGGGGGACCGGCCAAAAGTGCGCCCGCGGACGGCGTCGTCCCGAGGACGCGTCCACGACGCGTCCTCTGTTTGTGCCCCGCAGGTGCCTCGCCGTTGCGGAGGGTCGCGCCGATCTGGCATCCGCCCCACACTTGCAGAACCCCTCCACCCCCTGCCAATAGCCCCGCGCCACCCCTCGCCCTCCTCCTCCACTCCTCCACAGGCCATCATGAACTTTCAGAGCAGCGCGTGGGACACCTGCGCGCCAGAGGCGCTTGTGCGAGCCGCCGGCGGCGAGATGACCGACTTGTTCGGCGAGGGCGCATCGGCCAGCCCCCGCCCGAGGTGAAGGAGGCGGAGGTCCAACCGGCTCGAGAGTCAACCAAACATAGGCGACCGGCTTGTCTACCTGCCCGACCCGCCGCCTCCCGCCTCGCACCTGAACAGCTGCGGCGTCGCCGCCGCCTCGCCCGCTTTCGCGCCGCGCCTTCGCGCCCTCTGCGAGACGATGCGCGCCAACCCGGCTGCGGCAGCGAGGCTGGCGCCGTGGGGACTGCAGGTGGGGGCGGTAGCAGGCAGCCTCGACTCCAGGATCTGACCCCTATCCACGCCCGAGCGCACGACTGCAGGTGGGGGCCGGGGGAGAGAGCTGGGAGGAGTGCGGCGGGGCGGAGGCGGTGGGGAAGGTGCTGCGTGTGCGGCGGGAGGCGCTGTGCGACGCTCTCACCCGTCCTGAGGCGTGCGGACCCGCACCCCTTCCGAGACGCTCCCGACACACTTCAGAGACTCCTCCTCCTCCTCATGTCCGGAGGCCACCGCCAGGCCACCGCCACTGCCTTCATCCACTCGGCCCGCGCCACTCTCGCCGCCGGGGCCCATCCTCGCCGCGCACTGCCGCGTAGGGCCTCACATCGCTGCAGTGCCTGCTCGGGCTGAGCGACGACGAGTGGGCAGGCACGATCTCGCCCGATCTCGCCCGATCTCGCCCGATCTCGCCCGATCTCGCTAGCCTCGCCCAGCCTCGCTCAATCTCGGCCACCCGGCCGGCTCATCTCTCTCGCCCTCGGGCTTGCACTCACAGGCCTCCGGACGCTTAATCCGGAGGTGGAGCCTCTGGTGGTGCACGGGAGGGGGGCCGCCAACCGCTGGCAGTCGCTCCGCCTTCTGCGCGCTCGGCTGGGCCTCTCGCAGGGCGAGCTCAAGGCGGTGGTGTTGCGGTGGCCGCAGCTGCTGGGCTTCGCGTACTCCGACATGGCGCCGTCGCTCGCACGTGTGCAGGAGAAATTTCAGGGCCTAGGGGCTGGCCTCGACTGGGACATGCTTGCTTTAGCGTGACGCGATTGCGTGCAGGAGGAGCTGGGCCTCGATGACGGCCAGCTGAGGTCGCTCGTCGCCGCGCTGCCGCAGCTGCTCGGTCTCGACTTCGATGCAGAGGCCCGTTGCAAGCCGTGTGTGTGCTGCGCCAGAGCCCAAAGTGCTCCTCTGTGCCCCGTCAGGTGGCGGCCAAGCTGGCCGCGCTTCGGACCGAGTCCGACAGCGAATTCAGCCGCGCGGAGCTGGTGGCCAAGGTGCTGGCGAGGCCAACGCTGCTGCTCGGGATCGAGGAAGCGTGCCCCCGGTAGAGCGGTAGTGCGCGCGCGGCGCCGGCGGGCCAGGCCTTTTGGGCACACGCGTGGGCTGCCTAGGAGCTGCCAGCTGGGTCAGATACTGACGTACCGTAGATATAGCATATAGCGGTCTCTTCAGACTTCACTTGTTACGGCTCTCCTTTGGTCATTGGTGTCACAACAAAGAGTGCAGGAGTGCAGCTGCTCTTAGTGCTTTTTGAGCAGTACCGACTCAGACACAAGATCTAGACCGGACGCGGAACCATCCACATCATCACTGGCTCGCGGCAGTAAGGGCACTCTCGCATCAGCTCAGAGCATGGCCCGCAAGCACACAGGTGCCCGCACGGAACCGCAGCATGCGACTTGACTCTCGCGAAACACACGATGCACGTGCTCTCGCCCCCCATCGTGGACTCGGGGGCAGCCGGCCGCCCCGTGTCGAGGCCGGCGTCAGCTAGTGAGACGGCAGCATGCGGCTCGGTGACTGGCAGATGCTGCTCCGCCGCCTCTCCCGCCTCTGGCTCGATCAAGCGCTCGATGGCGCTGACCCGCTCCTCGAGGCTACCCTCGGTCGCCGCGCCGAGGCTTGCCTCCAGCCGCTCGACACGCCGCTGCAAGTCCCCGCCGCCGCCGGTCGACTCGCTGCTCACCGCCTCCTCGCACCGCGACACCCGACGCGCCAGCGCCTCCTCCGCATCCACCTCTGACCGGCGCAGCGCCTCTGCCAGCTCCGCATCCTCGCGCAGCGCCGCCCGCTCTGCCGCACCCGCTAGCTCTCCCGCCTCCCGCTCCGCCCGCCTCGCCGACTCCTGCTCAGCAGCCAGCCGCGCCGCCCTCTCCTCCTGTGCGCGAACCTCTGCCGCAGCCCGCGCCCTCCGCTCCTCCTCGAGCGTGCAGGCAGACGGCGCCTTCTTGGCCTCCTTCTTCTTCGCCTTGGCCTCCTTCTTGGCCGCCGTTGCCTCCGCCGCCTTTGCGCGCTGCCTCGCCTTCTCCTCCTCCGCCCTCTTGTCCGCAGCCTCCTTCTCGCGCCGCGCAACCTCTGCCTGAGCGGCTTTGCGCTCCGCCGCGGCCGCCCGCTGCTCCTCTCGCTGCGCCTCCTCCGCCGCTCGCCTCTCCGCCTCCCTCGCCCGGAGTGTCTCCTCTGCTGCCGAGCGCTCAGCGGCCAGCTTCGCCTCCGCCTCCGCCGCAATGGCTCGCCTCTGCTCCTCCAGCGCCGCCGCGTCTGCCGCCCGGCGCGCCTCGTCCGCCGCTCTCTCTGCTTCGCGCCTGCGTGCCGCCCGCTCGCGTTCTCGCGCCGCCGCTGCCGCCTCCCGCTCGCGCTGCTCGCGCCGCCCCTTGGCCTCAAGCGCCTTCTCGGCCGCCTCCGCCTCTCTCAGCGCCGCTGCGTGCTCTGTGAGAGCGCGCACACACCCGGCGTGGTCCATTTCAGGAGCACTGGCGGCGTCGGCAGTAGCTAGCACCTTGGCCGCCCCGTTCTTGGCGAGCTGCAGCGCCGTCATGCCGGCCGCAGAGCGAGCCTTTGCATCTGCGCCAGCCCGAAGCAGGCGGAGCACGACGGCGAGGTAGCCGCTGTAGGCGGCGGCCATCAGGGCGGTGACGCCGTCGCTGTCCTGCAGGTTGTTCTCCGCGCCGCGCCGAATCAGCAACTCGACCACCCGCTCGTGGCCTCTATCGGCGGCGAGCATCAGCGCGGTGCCGCCGCCGCTGTTCTGCAAGTTGACATCAGCGCCGCGCTGCAGCAGCAACTCGATCACCCGCTCGTGGGCTTTGTTGGCGGCGAGCATCAGCGCGGTGCCGCCGTCGCTGTCCTGCAGGTTGATCGCAGCGCCGTGCCGCAGCAGCAGCTCGACCACCCGCTCTTGGCCGTTCTCGGCGGCGTTCATCAGCGCGGTGACGCCGTCGCTGCGCTGCAGGTTGATCTCCGCGCCGTGCCGTAACAGCAAATTCGCCACCCGCTCGTGGCCGCTGCCAGCGGCGAGCATTAGCGCGTTGTCGCCCCCGCTGTCCTGCTGGTTGATCTCCGCGCCGTGCCGCAGCAGCAAGTCGACCACCCGGTCGTGGCCGTCGACGGCGGCGTGCATCAGCGCGGTGGCGCCTTTGCTGTCCTTCAGGTTGACCTCCGCGCCGTGCAGCAGCAGCATCTCGACCACCCGCTCGTGGCCGTTGTTGGCGGCGATCATCAGCGCAGTGACGCCGTCGCTCCTCTGCAGGTTGATCTCAGCGCCGTGCCGCAACAGCAGGTCGATTACCCGCTCGTGGCCGTCGATGGCGGCGTACATCAGCGCGGTGTAGCCGATGCTGCTCTGCAGGTTGACCTCAGCCCCGCGCCGTATCAGCAAGTCGACCACCCGCTCGTGGCCGCTGTAGGCGGCGCTCATTAGCGCGGTGCGGCCGTTGCTGTTCTGCAGGTTGAGCTCCGCGCCGTGCCGCAGCAACAACTCGACCACCCGCTCGTGGCCGCAGCGGGCGGCGCCCATCAGCAGCGTGAGGCCGTTCACGCCGTCTCTCTCGTACGTCGCGTCGGCCCGCCCGCCGCCCTCGAGCCACGCCAGCACCGCCTCCTCCTCGCCTCGCTCCGCCGCTAGCACGGCCGCGTCGGGGCATCTCAGGGAACCTGCGCCGCTGCTAAGCTCGCGAGCACTAACCATCGCTGGTTCCGGCTCGTCGGCGGCCCCCCCCCAGGGGTTTACTATAGGGTCCCCAGTCAACCCTGGAGGCGGAGTGTGTGTGTGTGTGTGTGCCTGGGATGTTGGGTGCGAGGTGTGGCGGCTTCGATCCCAAGGGGGGGAGCTGATCCCACTCGGTAACCAACTCTCAGGGGCAGTAGGTGGGCGAGCTTCAAGCGCGCTCATCTCGATCGTCAAGGCGTCGCTACGCGCGGTCTTCCGCGGGGGGAGCTTCGTCGACGGGTGCGGGACTGCGGCGCAGACAGTGCTGCGGCAATGCCTCCGGCTGCTGCGGCGAGTGGTGTGCTGCTCGCTGCGATGGCGAAGAACTCGTCTCGCCACACGCCAAGGGCTTACGCTCTGTCGAGACGTGAGGCGTACTCGCTTAGTGTGGGTAAACCATAAAAGTAGGTTTGAATTCGTCCACGTAAGGCTTGGTGAGTGGTTGGGGTGGCCTCAGGCATCCCCAAGGGAGCCTCTGCGGTGCCACATAAGCAGCTTAGTGATTGTCGAGACTTTAAAGGATTCGTTGGAAGAAACGCAAACAGGACAGACGCTACTATGGTCACCAGTAAACCATAATTCGACTTTGAGGGATCATATCTCAAAAGGCTGGGTGAGAGCATAGCATTATTGTTGTATATTAGGCCGCATAAGGTCAAACTCGACCCCACAAGCATCAAGAACCCGATGCTCCGGCTCGACTGTGCCGGCACACTGCCTCCTCACATCAATAGCCCTGCCTCGCCAACGGCGGGCACATGGCGCGCGTAGCTATGATAGGGACCGCGGCCGCGGAGCCGGCGGCGGACGGGGCTGGCGCGCAAGCGCCGGCCACCGTCGTGCCGCCGGGAACGCGCCGCGGACCACCCTGGAATAGCAGCCATCGCGCGCACATGCAAGACTGCCTCATTGCCGCAAGGCTCGCAGGTGTGTCGCAGCTCAGGTATGAGGTCCCTGGCTACGGGACGGCGACCTTCGAGCTGAAGTCCGAGAAGGCCGCGGGTGACCGCGAGCCTGTGCAGGCGGCGGAGCGCTCGTTCATCGAGCGCACCGCGTCGCGGAAGGAGAAGCCGACGGAGGAGCAGAAGCAAGCTCGGGCCGCGGCTCGCAGGGCCAAAAAGGCCCGGCAGAAGGCGAACAGGGCGGAGAAGGCTGCGGCGGCGGCTGCGAGCGAGGCCGAGCGTGCGGACTACCCGCACGCGCAGCTACGCGAGAACGTCGAGTTCGTGATGGACGGCCTAGAGGCTGCGGCGCAGGCGGCGCGCAACCCCAGCGGGTCCAATATTCAGGTCGCCTACTCGCTGCCTCCCGAGGGGGGCAGCGGGTTCGGCGACCTGGTGTACGCCACGGTCCCTCTGGGCTCCGTGGCGACGAAGGTCGCCCGGGACTGGCTCGCCAACGAGCTCTACGAGCCGTCCCGGCGCGGCAAAATCGATGCGGCCTGCAGGGACCGAAAGGTCGCCGACCTGATCACGGCTGCCGGCGCCTCGGCGCCGGCCGACGCCGTGTTCGGCGGCAGGTTTGCGACGGGCGAGACGCCCCGCTCGACGACCTCCGCCTCCGAGGCGGACGAGGGCGACGGCGCCGGCGGCGATGGCGGGACCAGCTTCGACCTGTTCGGGCCGGACCCCACCCCCATGGAGGACCTTTGAGGCCCTCCCCAGTCTCACCCCACCTTACCTCTGCCCCCCCCTCCCCCCATCCCTCTGCCTCCCATAGGGCAGGATAGCACTAGCATATGCGCCTAGTGCGCACACTGGGCCCACATAGATGTGACCCGCCCACTCGAGTGCGGCGCCCAGATGCTAGTGCTTGAGAGGACACCACAAACGCGGCACGGCCCGTTTTGGATGTCTGCGGAGATTCTGTCTTAGCACACACAGTGAGTCATTCGGAGTCATTCGATGGCCAGAGTGCGATTGTGTGTGTGCGGGAGTTGGTTTGTCGGGAGGGAGGGGCAGGCTGCTCACCCACGTGCACCGGGCCAGTGCTTGCACTTTGAATGCCGTGGGGCTCCTGCCCGTGTCCGGGTGTGGAGATGCGAGGGTCGCCCCCCCTTGCCCCACCACTTTGTGTGTGTGGAGAAATTTACCTTACCTTACCTTACCTCCTCGCGCACGCTGCTAGCAGGCCGTTGCGGCCCGTGGTGCACCAGAGAGAGAGGTCGACACGTTGCCCCCGCCGGCGAGTCCGCGCGGCTCAGGCCGGCCAGAAGGTGTGTGGTGGCGGCACCGTGGCAGGATTGCGGAGAAGAGCTCGCCGAACGCGAGCAGCAGATGGCCAAAGTGTGCCAGCGCGAGAGCCTCGCGAGCGGGCGCAGAAGGAGCTCGCCGTGACACGATGCCGGGCGGTGGTGGTGCTCTGGCGGCTGTGCACAGTGGGCAAAGTCAGGCTGCAGCAGGGCAGCACGATGGTAGTGCCCTGCTGCAGCCTGGCCTGACATGCACAGGGCGAACAGAGACACTACTATCGTCTGGCGCTCGTCACCGAATCTGGGCCAACTTCGACCGCCGCCACAGCTCGCCACGAGCACGCAGCGACAAAATGTTGACTGTACGGAAGTTGAGGCTGGTCCAGAGGAAGAGGCTGCCGTGCGAGCCGGCAGCAGGCTGGCTCGTCGTGGACTGCAGCAGCGACTTTTATGGGTTTCTCTGTTCATAGTAGCGTGCACGCTACTATGGTTTACCCACACTAAGCGAGTATGCGCCCAGGAGGGGAGGGCGCATGCGTAGCGACGCTGCTAGAGATGCCTTTCGGGGCCCAGAGATAAAACTTCTGATGCCATGCGTGACCTAGTAGTGTCCCCAGCTATGGGCGTGTCCACGTTGGAGCCAGGTGTGGTGTGGACGCGAGAATAGCTCCGCCGTTCATGGAGGCAACCGATGCGAGTCGACTGGTGTGTGTCGTCGTGGTTTCGTATCAAGAATACTCACTCACTGGAGGCGGATTAGCGGGGTCTGTCCGACTCGCTCGCTGCACGGTTGGCTGCGGAGGCACCATCTACGCCCTCGACGAGTGGCGCGCTGAGCGGCGCGAGCGGCCGCCGGCTCAGCCAAGCCGCAACAGCGGGAATGGTGCCAGATTCTGGTATCGGCAGCCTGTCCCGCTGGGACCTCGGCTGTGCGGGACTCCTGGCTGCACTTTGCCGGACCGGCATAGCGGACCGTGTCCGCCCGCCATCTGCCCCGAGGGCTCGCGCACTCGTAAGCCGCCGGAGCGCCTCGAGGCCGGCCCCGCATCCCGAGCTCGGGCCTCAACCCTTGGCATGCAGCAGCCAGCGCGGCAGAGGCGGGAATGCGCGGCAGAGGTGGGAGTGGGGGGCTGAGCACCCTAGCTGGAGTGCGTCGATCTTCACGCGGCTTGCTTCTTCAGTGAGTAGGTCAGGGTGGGCGTAACTGCGCTCGAGGTGGAGGAGATGTGACCCTGGCTGGGATTCGACCGAGGTGTAAGGGAGATTGACGGGAGCGTAGGTGGAGTGCCAGGCGGACTCGAGCGGGGGCGAGATGGAAGTTGAGGCGGAGGTCGAGTCTGTGGCCGCTACTGTCGCAGCCGAGGAGGATGAGGCCCGCGGGCCGGCGAATGGCAAGACGCGCAGCGTCGTTCTCTGAGGCATGTCGCCGCTGCACCGTAGGAGAGCTACGTCAGCGACCCGGAGGGAGGGCGCTGCGAGGTGTGCGGCATGGGCGCGTGGAACGAGCCCGGCCTCAACGCTAAGGGTGAGTGGATCGAGGGTAACTGGATGCTGCTCTGCGACGGCTGCGACACCGCCCGCCACACTCTCTGTTGCTCGCCGCCCCTCCTGGCGGTGCGAGAGGGCAGGACGGAGGGGGGGGGGGGGGGGGATCGCGCGGGACAGCAGGACGTGGCAATAGGTGCCCGAGGGCGAGTGGTACTGCCCGCGGTGCTGTGCGGC